CCGGATGCGAAAACAGAAGCATTTGGATGATCTGGTGGCAGAATTAGCCCAACTGAGGCAAGAAAACAATCATATTCTCACCAACATCGACATCACAACCAACACACATGAATGTGAACTCTGTCATGGTCAAGTGCATCTAGTCAGTCTAGTACTGAACACTGTTTTGAGAGCTCAGATGGTTTGAGCCAGCCAGAGACTCAGTCCCTCAATGAATCCTCATCTACATGAACACAAACAGGTTTTTGAGTCTGATCAATCCTGCCCATTCCTGTAAATAACATGAACAATCATCCATGAAACTTGATGTTTCTTAATCAACATCATGACCTCTCCTGATATGTTTCAGTATTGATCATCTTCATCAAGAACAAAGGACTTAAATTTGTCAATATTTTTGTTGTCTAAATGGGCTGTTTTGTGGTTTTGTGGTTTTGTTTAATGGGTTTTGGGGAAAGAAAGGGTTGTTGGTTATTGTTGTCATTAGCACAATAGTAGTATTTAGTGTTTTTAAATATTAGCTAATACGTATTAGTTGGACTTTTGATATTGATATTTGCCAATTTATTGGTTTGATATATGACTGTATCGCCAATATTAATACGTATTTTAAGTGTGGTTATTTAAGATTATATTATTAATTGTATTACTTTTTTTCTTTTCTGTTTTTTAGCACCGAATTCGGAAGTGTAGATGTATGTAGTTTTATTTTAAAGCTGTTGGAAGTTAATTATAGTCGTTACTTGTTACTTACATATTCGTAAATAAGTGTACTTTTTTAAGAAAAACCTAAGTGTTAGAAGGTATTTTTGTCTTACACCTATGAGGCCCAAAGTTTGTGGGTCTAAGTTGATAGGATGTATGGTGTAGATGTATTGGTCCTTTTGCTTATATTTAATAATATATATATATATATACCATAATTTTACTACTGGAATACTGTTTTTTTTTTTTGTTTTTTTTTTTCTCTTTGATTAAGTTGTGTGGTAGGTTAGTGAAGAAACATGCTTACGATATTTTTTATTTTTTAATATTTATTTGCCTTTCATTCTTTGCTCTTGGTCACATTGCACTTTAGTAGAAGCCACGATCATTGAGATCTTGACCTTTAACCATAGAGAAATGGGTTGCTTTAGGATGATCAACAAGGGTAGTCATTGATGTAGATTTTATTTGTGTTAGAATATTAAATTTTTCAAAAGATTTATAGAGAAAAAAAAAAAAGACAAAAAAATATTAGCTTCAACTATTCTCACTTTTTCATTGGTAAATTATTCTACAAATTTAAAATTTAAACACAGTTTTTATTAATTCGAGCTTTAAAATTTTGAAATTTTCAAGATAAAGTTGGTTCATACAAAACAATAATGGCCAAATAAAACAGATACATTTATTTATATTTATTTTTATGACAGTACATTTATAAAAGATTTTAAGTTTCTTTGTTTGAACAAAAGGAATAAGGATCCATTGAAATTCTAATCACTCATGTTTTAAATATGATCAATCAAACTTGTCCAATGGTCAAATGGTCAAATACGGAATGCATTTTGTTATGCAAATATTGATTAGATTTATATATATTAAAGCACAAGATATACATGATTTAACAATAAATCGGTATCTATGGAGAGGAAAAGATCAAATTCACTATGCATAGAATTATAGAGTTTTGAAACTCTCAACTCAATCACTTTACAATGCAATCTCACTTCCACACTAAAATTTGTATGAAAATTGTTTTTTTTATTTTGTAATTCTTTACAAAAATATAAATAAAAATAAAGAAAATAGAATTAACTTTTTATATTAATTTTTTAAACTTTTTTATTAGTTTTTTAACTTCTTAATTAATTTAGCCTATTTCTAAACATACCTAATCTCTAATTGAAAAACACAAAATACCTCCAAAACTTAAGTCTAGTTGTCAGGCTAAAATAATTAAGAAGTTAAAAAACTAATAAAAAAGTTTAAAAAATTAATATAAAAAGTTAATTCTATTTTCTTTATTTTTTATTTATATTTTTGTAAAGAATTACAAAATAAAAAAAACAATTTTCATACAAACTTTTAGTGTGGAAGTGAGATTGCATTGTAAAGTGATTGAGTTGAGAGTTTCAAAACTCTATAATTCTATGCATAGTGAATTTGATCTTTTCCTCTCCATAGATACCGATTTATTGTTAAATCATGTATATCTTGTGCTTTATATATATAAATCTAATCAATATTTGCATAACAAAATGCATTCCGTATTTGACCATTTGACCATTGGACAAGTTTGATTGATCATATTTAAAACATGAGTGATTAGAATTTCAATGGATCCTTATCCTTTGTTCAAAACAAAGAAACTTAAAATCTTTTATAAATGTACTGTCATAAAAATAAAAATAAATAAATGTATCTGTTTTATTTGGCCATTATTGTTTGTAGGGTGTGCATAATACCGCCAAAACCGCACTGCCAAGGCAAATTCGTTACTATTTGCCAATCGAACCGCCGATTTTTTGTAAGAAAAATGACAAGTTCTAGTGACACTTTTATCAATCCGCCGGTTTCTATTTTTCTTCCAAACCGCACCGACCCGCACCGCTATTAAATCATGTTTTATAAGATTCTAAAAATTCTTTTTTACTTAAGTTTGCTTGTTGTTCTATACCTTAGAATATAGTATTACATTATTGCTCGAGGGGAATTCAAGATGTCAGTAATCCAAAATAAAGTTGGATTTCAATTCACTTTTCAATCTTTTTTTTTTTTGACCATGTTGCAAACTTGCATCAGCTCACTTTTCAATCTAAATACTTTTCAACAGTAAACATTTTCAATATATTGTAAACCCTGAATAATATTAATTTTATGTATTGCATTTGATCATTGTAGCTTCCACAGATGCTTGTAATGAACTGATGGCATAGTCGTTGATATTATCATGTTGCTATACTTGCTGCATCAGAAGAAAGTTTCGCAAGATGCTTAACATCACGGTATTTCTCATTTTTTTTTATTCTTTGATTTAAGTTTTGTAATTTGAATTATATTTTTTATAAACCGCCAATCCGCCCAAACCGCCAAGGCATATCCGCCATTATTTGCCAACCGAACCGCCGGTTTTTGATAAGAAAAATGGCAAATTGTAGTGACACTTTTATCAATCCGCCACCCGTCATACGGTTTCTATTTTTCTCTCAAACCGTACCGACCCGCACCGCCCACACCCCTAATTGTTTGTATGAACCAACTTTATCTTGAAAAATTCAAAATTTTAAAGTGCCGAATTAATAAAACTGTGTTTAAATTTTAAATTTGTAGAATAATTTACCAATGAAAAAGTGAAAATAGTTGAAGCTAATATTTTTTTGTCTTTTTTTTTTTCTCTATAAATCTTTTGAAAAATTTAATATTCTAACACAAATAAAATCTACATCAATGACTACCCTTGTTGATCAATCCTAAAGCAACCCATTTCTCTATGGTTAAAGGTCAAGATCTCAATGATCGTGGCTTCTACTAAAGTGCAATGTGACCAAGAGCAAAGATGAAAGGCAAATAAATATTAAAAAATAAAAATACGTAAGCATGTTTCCTTCACTACCTACCACACAACTTAATCAAAGAGAAAAAAAACAAAAAAACAAAACAGTATTCCAGTAGTAAAAATGGTATATATATATATATATATATTAAATATAAGCAAAAGGACCATACATCTACAACCATACATCCATATCAACTTAGACCCACATAAACTTTGGCCTCATAGGTGTAAGGACAAAAATAACCTTCTAACACTTAAAATAAAACTACATACATCTGACACTTCCGAATTCGGTGCTAAAAAACAGAAAAGAAAAAAGTAATACAATTAATAATATAATCTTAAATAACCACACTTAAATACGTATTAATATTGGCGATACAGTCATATATCAACCAATAAATTGGCAAATATCAATATCAAAAGTCCAACTAATACGTATTAGCTAATATTTAAAACACTAAATACTACTATTGCTAATGACAACAATAACCAACAACCCTTTCTTTTCCCCAAAACCCATTAAACAAAACCACAAAACCACAAAACAGCCCATTTAGACAACAAAAATATTGACAAATTTAAGTCCTTTGTTCTTGATGAAGATGATCAATACTGAAACATATCAGGAGAGGTCATGATGGGTTGATTAAGAAACATCAAGTTCCATGGATGATTGTTCATGTAGTTATCAACAGGAATGGGCAGAAGATCTTGATCAGACTCAAAAACACCATTGTTTGTGTTCATGTAAGTGAGGATATCATTGAGGGACTGAAGTCTCTGGCTGAGCTCAACCATCTGAGCTCTCAAAACAGTGTTCTCAGACTCAACATTCATGTGTTGTTGGGTTGTGATGTCGATGTTGGTGAGAATATGATTGTTTTCTTGCCTCAGTTGGGCTAATTCTGCCACCAGATCATCCAAATGCTTCTGTTTTCGCATCCGGGACCGCCGAGCCGACTCTCGGTTGGATTGCATTCTCTTCCTCTTCCTTTGATCCATCAAAACCTGCAAGTTTTCTTCAGGGCCAGAGTTCTGAATCTGATGAATTGACCCTGAAGAATTTCCACTAGAAGAAGCCACTGAATATTTACACCAAAATCTTACAAACCTCAAAAACAATTAAGTTACAAGTTATAAACCAAACAGACCAAGGACCCAGATACTAGTTATATGCTATATATATATTGATAAAGATATATTATATATATAAATCAAGATTGGAGAAAAGAAAATTCATGAAAACACATAGAACCAGTAAAGGAAGACAACAGAGAAAGATTGAACGAGATGGGTCCTGCGCCTCAGTGAGGAATTTATCATAAAACCAGAACGGAGGATTTCACTGAGAACTGAAAACATGAATATGAAACATTAACATCAAGATACAAACATTATGACAAAGATTTGAGAGAGAGTGAGAGAGAAAGAAACAACAAACAGATCTCAAAAATAGAAATTTTGAGAGAATAGTCAAGTGGGTCTTTGGTAATTTAAGCCAAAATCCCAAAAATCAAAGATCAGAACAAGAAAATTAGAGGAAAACAGATCTACAAAAGATGAGAGAAAGAGAGAAAAGAAAGAAGTTGGAAGCCCAAGATCTATGGGGGGAGAAAGAAGGGAAGAGGGAAGAGGTTTTCCTGGTTGGAGAGGGGGTTGATTTATAGAACAAAAAAGGTAGGCAAGAAAATGAAAGAAAATTTTAAAATTGGAAAAAGGTAATGGAGGGTATGGAATCTCTTAATAGGAGAGTTGTTGGGGGCATGTGGGTATGGAGACAAAATTTCCACAACTGACCAACTACAGCTGGTGAGCAAAAACAAAAACAAAAAACAAATTACAAAATCAATGCAAAATCTGTACCTTGTTTTTTTCACCACCTTCGACGGTAAAAATGGAAATGGAATTACTTTTACCTTGAGATTTTACTGTTTACTGTCTGCCATGAGTCTGTACACACCGGAAAGAATTGGAGACATTTTTTTTAAAATTTTTTTTACAATTGTTTCATACTATTTATTTTGAGTTATTTTGAAAAGTAAGTTAAAATTTGATTTTTTAAACTTTTTTTGGTCTTTTTTTTTAAAATAAAAAATTATAAAAAATAAAAAGATGATTTGACTCAAAATAAGTAAAAAGTTAAAAATTAACTTTTTACCCCCTTACCAAAACAACACATGTTCAATTATTTTTAAAAGTCAATATAGAACTAGCAGGTTTTATTATTTCAACTATGCTCCGTTGGTTTGGATGAAAAATATTTTTTACAATTTTTTTAAAATGTTATTCGGAAAAAATATTTTTTTATATTTGGTGGTAGTGGTGATAGAACGAAGGTGGAGTGAAGGTGGAGGTGGCGATGGCGGCATGGTGGAGGTGGCGATGGCGGCATGGTGGTGGGGCGATGGCAACAGTAACGATAGTGATGGTGGTGTAGTGGTAGAGATGAGAGTAGTGGTGGTAGTATGGTAATATTAGTAAGAATTTAGTCTAAAAAACATTTTTTACATTTTAAAAGTGAAAAATATTTTCTATCCAAATAAGTTTGTTTTTCATTGACCACAAAAAATGTTTTCTGTTAACTTTCGTTTTCTATTATAACAAAAATCAGAAAATATAAAAAATATTTTTCAGAAAACGTTTTCTACCCAAACAAACGAAGCATAATATTACACGAATTTGTCCCAAACCACTATAATTTTTCAAAGAATTATGTGAGAAATAAAAAATCACAACACACATTAAAACCATATTTGTTTAGGCCAACATTAATCCAACGCTTGAACATGGTGTCCTCTATGTAGACGAGGACTATTGAATCCCAAAGGAGGTTTTGATACAGAATGAAAAACTAAAAAAATGTTGAGACTAATTAATTAAAGGGTTTGACTTTTTTCAAATTATTATCTCAACTTGAGAAAGCGTTTGGGCGTAATAGGCTCATTTTGGGATCAATTTGGATAATTCAAACTGTTTACTTCTTATGACTTATTGAATAGAATATTTATACAAATCTAATGCAAATATATAATTATTGATATTCGATCATTTCGATTTTTTTATCTGAATATTCTACTTAATTAGTCCTTAAAAATGAACATTTCGAATCATTGAAATTGGTCAAAAAATTAGTTTATCAAACCCAAACGCTCTTTGAAATTGATATAAACAACTTGAAAGATTACAAATTCAAAATTATCTACCTAAAATTTATCAAAAAAATAAAATTAATAATTTAAATTTATTTCGCTCATAAATTTCACATTTCATCAATTTAATTTTCCTATGCATAACATTCTGAATTAATTCTAACCCCCTAATTCCGAACACTAGTTTTTTTTTGTACAAATATTTTTTTTTGAGATTTTTTATTTTTTTTTTAAACAAATATTACGACCTGCGTCATTGGATTCTTTGTAGTATAGACTGATACGTATCGAAATCGTAATCAGTAAAATCTGACGGTAAAGTCATTCCATGTACCGCCGACGGCGTTGAAAACAAGGTAAAAAATCTGTCAGATTTGCTTCTTTGACAATTTGACAATTGTGTAGCAGACCATAAACATATTTGTTCATGAACAATTTTCAGTTTTTTTTTTTATTTTTTTATTTTTTTATTTATTAAATAAAACTTGTTAATATTTAAAAGATATGTAAAAAATATATTAAAATGTATAAAAATATTTTAAAATATGTGAAAGAGTATATTAAAAACTCAATAAAAAAATAATATATAAGTTTATTTTCTAAATCCAGTGATCAATTGCAGAGTTAGGAATTCTTTGGAAGGGATACAAATAAATGACAACATTTGAATTTTTTTTTTTTTGAGGGGGGTTGGATTTACATATAGGTTATAATAGATGAACTTATTATCTAATAAGTCCAATGATAATTAATAGAGTTTTTTTATCAAACAATATTAAAAATTAATCGTCAATAATTGTTAATTTTTAATGGTAGTTTATAAATTTTGTCACAAAAAATTTGACTAATTATAAATTTTAATAGCAGTTTAAAAAAATCATCTAGAAAAACATCACGAATTGTAAGTTTTAATGAAAAATTTATAAAAATCGTCATAAAAAGTCACTAATTGTCAACTTTTAGCGACATATGCAAAAAATCATCGCAAAAATTTATTTTTAACAATGATTTTACTATGTCTTACTTTTAATAAGATTTGATGGGAATTAAGTCAACTATTAAGACATATTAGTAATTTATCTTCTTTTTTTTTCTCGTAAGAGTCCATTTGGATAACTATGAATTTTAAATTAAAGAATTAAGGTTAACTTTTATATAAATATTTGAGAGTAACTATTTTTGGTAGATTAGAAAATTATAACAGATAATAAGTTAAGATAGAAATAATATATTTGAGTAGAGTAATTCCATAAAACACACCGCACAAAAAAAACAAAAAAACATTTACCGTATGATGCAACTATGATTTTTGTGGTCTATAGTTATGACACGTTGTTTTGGTTATAACTTCTTATGATTGTTATTTTGGTTATGATTGGAAAGTTCTTTGATTATGTATGAAGTGGCATTATGACTCATTCTGAAGTTAGTTATGACCTATTGTGATTGTTTATTTGAGTTATGACTGAAGATGTGTTGTTTGGTTATAATTTATATATTGGTCATTTTAGTTATGAATGAAAATAATTTGGTTATGACACTTTATAATATCAATGTCACAAAGTCATAATTATATAGTACACCCCTTTTTGGGTTTGTATAATAGAAAGCCCCATTTTAAGAGGTTCTTTGTAATTAGAATGAATATGATTTTTGTGGTCTATAGTTATGACACGTTGTTTTGGTTATAACTTCTTATGATTGTTATTTTGGTTATGATTGGAAAGTTTTTTGATTATGTATGAAGTGGCATTATAACTCATTCTGAAGTTAGTTATGACCTATTGTGATTGTTTATTTGGGTTATGACTGAAGATATATTGTTTGATTATAATTTATATATTGGTCATTTTAGTTATGAATGGAAATAATTTGGTTATGACACTTTATAATATCAATGTCACAAAGTCATAATTATATAGTACACCCCTTTTTGGGTTTGTATAATAGAAAGCCCCATTTTAAGAGGTTCTTTGTAATTAGAATGAAAATTCATAATAAAGGGGTACTATTACAATTTTAAGAAGGGATTATTGTAATTTTATAGAAGATATATAAGATAGAATATATATGTATATAGGGGTATTAATATAATTATCAAAACTTCATGGGGACACGTGACTCCCCTGATCTCACGCTAGCTCCGTCTTTGCCAGTGATGTGGAAAAGAGATAATTAACAGATTATTAGAGAAAATATGAGAGAAAGAGTTATTTTAAATATTGGGTCCAACTTGTCTCATGTTTGAGATCAAGACTGAATCGTCCAGTCCAGTTCATGGGTCCATTTTTGGGCTCTATTTCGATAATTTAAACTGTTCAATGTGTAGAACTTGTCGAGTACTATATCCCTGTAAAATATCACATTAATCGGATATTGATAGTTATTTGATCATATCAAATTTGTATAAAAAAATAGATGGTGAAAAAATAAACTGTTGACAGAAATTTGATTCAATCAAATAGCTACTGATATCCGATAAACGTGATTTTTACAGAGATATAGTAATCAACAAGTTATAAATGCTGCACGATTTGGATTATCGAAACGAAGCCCAAAAATGAGCCCATGGGTTGAACTGAACGGTCTAATCTTGATCTAAAACATGAGACAAGCTGGACCCTTAAATATTCTAATAGATTGCCACATGCCCAAACTCCTCACTAAGTATGAGAGCTCTAAAGCAAGAGCTATTCCTGTTGTGCTTTCATGGGGAAAGTACACAGGAATGGTTCCAACCTCTTTCAATTGAATGAATTTGAAAAATAAATTTAATTTTTAAGTGAGAGTAGCACATTCTTTTCAATATTTCTACAAGTTCTTAAGATAGTAGTGATGTGGTTTGGGATGATCTAAATAAGTGTACTTTTTGACTTTTTATGAAATATGGGTTGGGTATGAGTTGGGTTTGAAGTGATGTAGTAGAGAGGTGATGTGACTTAAATAAGATGATACGACTTAAATATGATAGTGACCTTTTGACTTTTTGACTTTTTTAAGACACCCCAAACCAGGCCTAAATTTAAAAATTATCACTCTATTTTCAATGCATGACTTGGAGTCAATTTCTACAACAAAAAAGGAAATTGGATGGTTGTTGTGCGGGGTACAACAGTCATTGTTGTGTAGTCATACAGGTCAATTTTGAAACTTATTTTGATAATTTGAACCATTCACGTTTTAGAATATATCAAGTAGAATATATTTATAAAAAATTAAATTGATCAAATACCAATTTTTTTTCTTGATTATACCGATTCGTGCATTGGTTAGGAGGCACTCAGCCCAAATTGATTGGCCATGTTTGGTTTAAATTTTGAAATTATTTTTTAATTTTAAAAAATAAAAATTAATTTGATAAAAATAAATATCAAAAATATATTTTTAAATTTTAAAAAATTATTTCTACCCTAAAAAAAATAAAATTATATAAAATAGTAAGTGATTTGAATTTTTTTTTTTTTGTTTTCATTAAAATAATTCATAATTTTTTTAAAAAAAGATAAAAAGAGAATTCACTTATAAATCCCATTTTGAGGAATG